AGGGAGGGAGGTGGGGCTAAGGGGAGGGTAAGTGAGATGGAGATAGGTGGATGCAGGAAGAAGGTTATTGTGGTTGATCAGTGGGAAGGGTGGAGCAGATAGGTGAGTAGGAAAGGTTGGGGGAGGAGACATTTTGAAGCTGGTGAAGTCAATATTCAGGCCATTGGGCTGTAAGCACCCAAAGTGAAATATGAGGTTTTTTTTTTTCTCCAGTTTACATTTCGCCTCACCCTGACAGTGAAGGAGGCCAAGGACAGACATGTCACCAGGGGAGTGGGACGGAGAGTTGAAGTGGATGGCATCTGGAATGTCGGGTTGGTTGGCATATGCAGAGCGCAGATGCTCTACACGCTGGTCCCCAAGTCTGCATGTGGCCTCCTCTATATTGGGGAGACCAAATCTGGAGCAACGGATACAGTAGATGAGGTTTTAAGTGCAAGTGAACCTCTGCCGAATTCAAAGGATTGTTTGGGGACTAGGTCGGAGGTGTAGGGGCAGGTGTAGCAGCACCTGCAGTTGCAGGGAAAGGTTGCCGGATTTGGGAGGGTTGTTTGGGGGCTCAGATGGAGCTGAGAGGATGCCGGATTTGGAAGGATTTCTTGCTATTCAGATGACCAGCTGTGCTTTTCCAGCTCCACATTTATTGATTCTAGCTTCTAGCATCTGCAGTCCTTTCTGTCTACAAGGTGGAAGTAGGTTGTGAAGAACTCGCAAAGATCCTTCAAGGGGACTTGGTGAGGCTAAATGAGTGGAAAATAAATTTGGCAGGTGGAATACAATATGGAGAACTGTGACATTATCACTTTGGTAGGAAAAAGAAAGTAGTGTTTTTTTTCAAAGGTGAGAGTCTGGGAAGTGTTCAATTTCAAAAGCACTTAGGGTGTCATTTTTCATAAATCACTGAAAGTTAAGATCTGAGTACAGCAAGAAATTAAGAAGCCAGGGGCTTTAGTATAAGAGAATTTCATTGTAGAAGCAAATGTGTTTCTGTGGTTATATAGAGCCTTGGTGAGACTACGTTTGAAGTATTGTGTGCAATTTTAGCCATCTTTACCTAAGGAAAGATATATTTGCTGCAGGGAGAGTGTAGGCTATGTTACACCAAACTAATTGACTTGCAAAACCAATCAATATATTTAGGCATTATCTAATTGAATGGTAGAGTGGGCTAAAGGGGTTGAAAAGAATGTTTCTTTGCATTTATTCAAAATTATAAAGGGTGTTGACAAACATGATAGGGAAAATCTTCCCATTCGTGGAAGGATTCATCAACAGAGGGCACAAGTTTAAGATAATTGGCAAAAGCAATGACAGCATGAGAAAAATATTTTTCATGCAGTGAAGAGCTAGGATCTGGAATACATGCCAGAGATTGGTGAAGGCAGGATCAATTAAAGCTTCCTAAAGGAATTGGATGACTATCTTAAAAGGGAACATTCTGAAGGGTTATAAAGAAAAGGCAGGGAATGGCACTAGGTGGTTTGCTACTTCCCTGCACATAAAGAAATGACAGAAGTGGCCACATGACCACCTTCAGTGCTCTGATCACCCTGTGATTCTGATATAGTTTTAATTGTGTGATCTTCTTCTTGGTGCTTCATAAACTACCTGAATGCCTTGAAGGTCTGCTGCCTAAATATAGCACCTACTTTAGTTTTAATCCACCTTGGAATCGGATTTGATCTCCGAGTCATAGAATCCCTACAGTGTGGAAGCAGGCCATCTAGCCCATTAAATCCACACTAAGCATCCAAGACCCAACCCAGACACATCTCTTCCCCACCCCTCCACTTTATCGTTGTAACCCTGCATTTCCTATGGCTAATCTACCCAGCCTGCATATCCCTGGACACAATGGGCAATTTAGCATGACCAAGCCACCTGACCTGCACATCTTTGGACTGTGGGAGGAAACTGGAGCATCCAGAGGAAACCCATGCAGACATGGGCAAATGTGCAAACTCCACACAGCCAGTCACCTGAGCCTGGAATTGAACCGGGTCTCTGGTGTGGTGTGACAGCAGTGCTAAACACTGAGCCAATGTGCCGTCCCTGGTTGTGTTGCTCAAAGATTTTGTTTTTGTTGTTTTATTATAGGATTATGGATGCTGCTGACAAGTCAGCAAGTATGTTTGCCATGGAAGTACTGGTCTTGCTAAGAATGCCCACATCCCAGACAAGGGGACAAAGAACAAATCCAATCTTGTCAAATATCATCCTATTAGTCTGTTCTCAAGCGTAATTGAATACAGGCATCTGTGATAGTGGGATTAACTTCTGTGGTTTGGGACAAGCTTTAGTATTATTTATTCAGCCCTGAAAGTGCTCAGCCTTGCCTTTGGCTTTCATGTACTATCAAGGAAGATAGAGTCTCCACCTCCAATTGGTTATTTATTTGCCTGACGCTATTCACAACTGAAGGTGATAAGGCTGTGCAGGGCTTTGAATGAATGAATACTTCTATTGTTACATGTATTTTACAGTGAAAAAAACAGTAAAATATAGTGACAAGCTTTTCCATTGTCGCCATGATCCAGCGACATTTTGAATAGTTTTAAGAATAAGGAAAAAAAAGCAAGATAAAGCTTAGAGAGTCCGTCGGTCCTGAGCCAGCTTACCATCAACGATGCCTGTGCCGCCATCCCTCCTCCACTGCCACTTACACTGGAGCCAACCAACGTTGAGGTCGCCACTCTTTAGGCACCATTTTTCACTGCTGGGCCAATTCCTCTCTGCCACTGCCTCGCCGCCACCTGTGCCAGACCCAGCAACATCAGAGTGGAATCTCTTGCTGCTGGGGCCACCTTGGAATTGATCCATTGTTTATTGGAACTCTTAACTGTGTCTACTGCATTCAAGTAGCCCAGTGTAGCTTCAAAGAGTTGACAGCTCATTTTTAGGTATTGCTGAAGCTGTTCCTGGTCAACATTTTGGTCCTCCTCAATGAGTCAGCATTCACCGTCTGGCTTGATGGTCACGTTTTATTAAGGTACGTGTAAGAGCATGAAGTTAGAGTGTGGTGAAATAAGGTTTTGCTATTATCGATGGCACATGTTGTCTATTTGTCCTAAGCTGCAGACCAGTTGAATTTCAGGACTCAGACTGTGCACATGTAATGTACTTTTTAAGATGTGCACTTGCACAGCTATTGTGAAGGCACTGACCAGTAAAGAAAATGGGAATAAAAGGGAAAGTCGGACAGAATGCACTTATGGGTGGCCTTTTTTGATTCCAGATCAGTTCAAAATCTTCCCCATTTAGCGTGGTGGTTAATACCATGCAGTGTGATAGAACATGTGTTAAATGTGAAATTGGAACTCTTCTCTGAAAGGACTGTACAGTACTCAGTCTTGTAAACAGTGGTTCATGTGTGGAATGAACTGCCAGGGAAAGCAGTGGATGTAGGTACAGTTGCAACATTTATAAGATCTTTGGATAAGTACGTGAATAAGAAAGGTTTGGAGGGATATGGACCAAGCTCAGGCAGGTGGGATGAGTTTAGTTTGGGAGCATGGTCAGCATGGACTGGTTGGACCAAAGGGTCCGTTTCCATGTTGTATAACTTTATAACTCCGTAACTGTAACAAAAAGTTGAATCTGCAACAGGTGGATTGGTAAGGATGAGGCCAAGGGTGTTAGTTTTCTTACCATCTGCGGCCAGAACTTGCCCTACCCTGTCAGTCATAGTGCTACTGAGACCTATTTGGTTATTGACATTCAAGTCCTCCACCCGGCTTACATTCTATGTCCTTGCTGCAGCAAGGCTTCGTCAAGCAGTGTTCAACATGATGTGCAGGTTTATTGTCGTTTGTTATCAAATACTGTATTCTGATTATCAATACTATCTGCAATGTTCTAACCATACAAATTAAGAGCAGGAGACACCATTTGGCCCCACAAGTCTGATCTGCTAATTGAGGAGATCGTGGCCGTTCTGCTAGGGTCACAATTCTATTTGCCTACCCCTATACCGTTTAGCTTCTTTATCAAAAATCTGTTTAACTCAACCTTTAAAACTATTCAATATTCCTGCCTCCACTAGTCCCTAGGGCAAAATATTCCACAGATGAATCACTGAGGAATAAAAATTCTCCTTGCTTCCTTCACTGTGAGCCTGCATATTTTTAAGCTGTCCTATGCCTAGTCCTAGTCTCTCTCGTGAGAGAAAACATTCCTTCAGGATCCACCCTGTCAATCCCTGCAGGATTTTGTTTCAATGAGAGAGTTTCACCTTCTTCTACATTCCAAAGGACACGTCTTCGTTTTAAAAAAAAAAACCCTTTATCTTGGAGATCAGTTGAGTGAGCAAAAACCAAAAGAACTGCAGATGCTGTAAATCGGGAACACAGTTGCTGGAAAAGCTCAGTAGGTTTGGCAGCATCTGTGAAGAAAAAATCAGAGTTAACGTTTCGGGTTCAGTGACCCTTCCTCAGAACATTGTTGTGTCAGTTGAGTGAGCCTATCCTGAACTACTTTAAATGCAATTGTGAATTAATAGATCATATTGGTCTCAAAAAGAGTTTGCTAGAATACAATGAGGGTTTTAATTATGGAGAGACATTAGAGAAGCTGGGATTTTTCTCAATGGATCAGAGAAGATCATGGAGCTGGATCACCAAGGAATTTTGATAAATAAGGATAAACTTTCTATTGGCAGAAAGGTAAATAGACTGTGTTTTAAAATAAATGGCGAAAGAACAGTGAGTTGTCTAAAAGAAGCATATTAATTGTTACTTTAATGAGAGAATTGGATATGTACGTGAAAAGGAACCATTTGCAGGGCTATGGACAAAGATGTAAGAAATGCATCCAATTGAATAGCACTTTCGTAGAGCCAACATAGGCATAATGCATTGAATTCACTTGCTGCGTTTTAATGATTTGATAACATTCTTCAAACCTATTGAAATTCAGGATGAAGTACTGCTGAAAGTTAAGTTGCTTGTACAAGATGTTTGTTATACTAATAGCAATATTTTTCTTTCCCCATCTAACCACAGCTGAAAATAAAAAGCAATCAGGAACACAGATCGTTACCATTAAAGAGGAGCCAATGGATCTGAAAATACCTGAACTTCCAGTCTCACCATTTCCTAATCGAGTCTTCAATTGCCAGGCAGTGAAGAGTGAAAGTTCCCAGAATTCCCCTGAAATTATACCCCTCACTGAAATTAAACTTTTCACTCAAGACATTTCTGTAAAGATGGCATCAGAGCTTCTTTATCAGCTCTCAGGTATTTGTGTTACTGTTTCACCAAATTGTATAGCCTGTATCAAAGCAATAGCGCATTCACGAAGTAATTTGACTTGTAGACTTGAGCTGCATGCTGTTCAAACTTGTTCCTGTTTGAGATTGTATTGTAGCTTCATCAGCAACAGCACGGTAATTAATATATGCAAGAGAGACTTTCTACAAAAAAATTACAACATTTGCTAAACTTCATACCAATTAAAATCAGCTGCCCTTTCCTGAGCGCTTTGCACAAATTCAGAGTCTGTCATATTGTCATGCTTGGCTGTTCTGAAGGTTTCACACGTTTTTCATTCAAATTTTAGGCTATGCCAGTGCTAACAGCTGTTAAATGCTGACTACTTTGTGTGGGTCTATAGATTATTTTTATTCTGGCTTCCCTTTGAAATTTGGCTTGTTGTATAGTGCCTTTGGAAATAAGCCTTTAGCAATAACTAACAAACATATAGATGAACATACAGAGAGGGAGTTAAGCTCCTTGAAACTCCTCCTTCATTTAGTAAGACCTGACATCCACATTCTAGCTGACCTGATAACCTTTTATCGCTTTGCTAACCAAGAATCTATCCACCTCTGTCTTGAAAATATTCAAAGACTCTGCTTCCAAACTCTCAACCCTCTGTTAGGAAAAAAAAATCACCTCATCTTTATCTTAAATGGGCAAATGCTTATTTGTAAACAGTGTCAGCTATTTCTAGATTCTCCCATAAGACAAAACATCCTCTCCACATCTATTGTCTCAAGACCGCTCAGGATCTGAACTGTTTCAATGAAGTTGCCTCTTAATTTTTTCCTTCTGAATTCCAAATACATGTCTAGCCTGTCCAATCTTTCCTCATAAAACAAGTTGTCCATTAAATGTATTGATCTGGGAGGTGCTGAAAAAGTGGTAATGTCACTGGACTATTAATACAGAAACCCAAGTTAATGTCCGAGGACATGGTTTTGAATCTACCCTGGCAGATGGTAAAATTTGAGTTCAATAAAAATGTAGAATGAAAAGCTAGTCTAATGGCTTCCATGTAACCACTGGTGATGGTTGTTAAAACCCATCTGGTTCACTAATGTCCTTTAGGGAAGGAAATCTGCCATCTTTACTTGGTCTGGCCTACGTGTGACCCCAGACTCACAGGAATGTGGATGACTCTCATCTACCCTCTGGGCAGTTGGGGATGGTCAACAAATGCTGGCCTAGCCAGCAGTGCCCATGTACCTTGAATGAATAGGAAAAAAAAATGCTCTATAGTGCTTTCAGCTTAATTACATCCTTCTGTAAATAAATTGAATGCTATAGAGGGTGTTTAACTGAAGTATAATCTCCCTACTTTTGCAATCAGTACTCCTTACAATGAATGGCGAAATTCTAATTTCTCATTACTTGCTGTACCTGCATCCTAGCCTTTTTTTTGAATCATGCTCGAGAACACCAAGCTCTCTCAGCATCTCGGAGCTACGCAATTTGTCACCGTTTGGGTCATGTACTCCTTTTTGTTTTCCAGTCAAAATGGACAATTGAACATCTTCCCGCATTAAACTCCATTTGCCACATCTTTATCCATCCACTTAACAGTTTTTTTTGGGCTCCTTATGTCCTAGGTATCTGTTATGTCAACAAAATTGGCTACCATAGCTTCCAAACTTAACACAGCTAATTGATATGAATTGTAAACAGTTCATGTTCCAGCATTGATCTCTGTGGTATGCAACACATTGGGTCTTTGACAGGTCAGCAAGATGCAATTATGCCTACTGTCTAGTGTCCATTGGATGGCTAATCTTCTATCCTGGCTAGTGTATTCCCCCATGTCATGAGCTGCTACTTGTATCCCCTATAGTGAAGACTTTTGCAAAATACCTGTTGAATTCATCTGCCATCTATTTGTTTTCCATTACCAATTCTCCAGTTCTGTCACTTTTGATAGAATAAATGCTTGTTTGACTTATATTTTTAAATACTGATGGAAATTTTTACTATCTCACTTCTTTTTTTTTAACATTGCTGGCTAGCTTTTTCAAAATAGTTCTGAAGAGGGGTCACTGGACTTGAAACATTAACTCTGTTTTTCACTCTACAGAAGCTGCTAGAGTTTCCCCAGCAGTTTCTGTTTTTTTGCTTGAGATTTTCTGCATCCAAACTTCTTTTGGTTTTATTTTAGCCACATTGTTTCTTCCTTCATACTCCATCCTACCACATGGTTACTGTTAGGGGCCTGTGCTCTACTCCTGCAAGTGACTTCTTTGCCTTAGCATTTCTCTCTAAACAAAACATTTGACCACCTTAGTTTCCTAAACTGAGGTCATCCCTCTCTGCACAAATATCACTGTTACCTAACCGATCATCCCCTCCACCTTTTCCAAGATTCCTGTTCTTCCTAGGTTTCTTGTATACTTAAACATTCCAGAATCTTTGGAATTCTGTACACCCAGAGGACTATAGAAGCTCTGTCTTTTAGTGTATTTAAAGTAGCGGTTGAAAAGTTCATGATCATATTAAATGGCATAAAGGGTTATGGGGATAGTGTAGGTAAAAGGCATTGAAGTATTCGATCAGCCATGATTGTATTAAATGGCACCATTGGCTTACTGGGCTGAATGGCCTACTCCTGTTCCTACTTGGGTCACAATCAATGTAATACTGCAATATTTTCTCTAATGGCTTCCAGAGGGTACTTAAATGCACTCTGTCCATTTTGTTTCGAATGTTTAGGTAGAAGGGTCTTTAGTGCTATCCTTTTTTATTCATTTTGTAGCCTCTAGCCTTGAGTTGATTTCCTCTTGCGTTCATACTCTAATTTTTTTTCTATCACAGTTTACTCTGATTTACTTGATCTTTCCAAATTTGATTCCTTGCTCCTGATATTAGGTTTAAAAACTTCTCTCTTTCCATACAAACATACCATAAGACTATAAGATTGAGGAGTAGAATTACGCTATTCGCCCCATCGAGTCTGCTCTGCCATTCAATCATGGTTGATACGTTTCTCAACTCCATTCTCTTACTTTCTCCCCATAACTGTTGATCCCCTCAGCAATCAAGAACCTATCTACCTCTGTCTTAAAAACACTGTGACTTGGCCTCCGCTTGTGGCGATGTGTTCCACATATTAACCACCCTCTAGCTGATGAAATTCCTCCACATCTCCATTCTAAAGGGTCAATCCCTCACTTTGTGGCCGTACGTTCAGGTCCCCATCTCCTACTAGTCGAAACATCTTCTCCACGTCCAGTCTATCCAGACATCTCAGTATTCTGTATGTTTCAATGAAATGACCCCTCATCTTTCTAAACTCCATCAAGTACAGACCCAGAGTCCTCATCTGCTCCTCATATGAAGCACTTCATCCCTGCTAACATTGCATTTGTCTTCCTAACCACCAACTGAATCTTCGTGACTTGGGAGTTCCTTTGTGCTGTTTCCCCATTTAGAAAATAGTCTTTGCCTCTATTCTTCCTACCAAAGTACATAACCTCACACTTGCCCACATTGTATTCCATCTACCACTTTTATTGCCTATTCACCTAGCATGTCCAAGTCCTCCTTCTGCAGCCTCCCCACTTCCTCAACACTATCTGTCCGTCCATCTATGTTTGCATCATCTCCAGATCTAGCAACAATGCCATCAGTTCCTTCATCCAGATTGTTAATCTTTAATTTGAATTGTTGTGGTCCCAACGCTGACCCCTGCGGAACTCCTCTAGCCACTGGCTGCCATCTCTAAAAAGATGTCTTTATCTCCACACACACAGAAATTGCTAGAAAAGTGTAGCAGGTCTGGCAGCATCTGTAGAAAGAGATCAGTGTTAATGTTTCAGGTCAAGTGACCTTTCCCCAGTCCCTCTGCAACCCCTCACCACCACCACCACTACCTTTAACTTCTTTCATAATATTCCTTGCAGTTTAGTTTAAAGCCCTGTCCTAAAGCATAAAGTTATGCAATTGAGAAAGACTGTGGTCCCAGCCTGATTCAGGTGGAGCCGGTCCCATTGCAACAATTCCCTCCCCAGTACTGATGCCAATATCCCATGAATTCAAACCCGTTTCTCCCATGCCAATCTTTGAGCCATGTATTTATCTCGTTAATCTTGTTGACCCTGTACCAGTTTGCTCATGGCTTAGGTTGTAACCAAAAGATTATTACCCTCTTTTTGGTTCCTTTTAATTTAGCCCCTAGATGTTCATGTTCCCTCAGCAGAGCCTCTTTTTCTCTTTCTACCTATATTGGTACCTCTGTGGACCATGACAGCTGAATCTTTCGCCTCCCATTCCAAATCCCTCTGCAGCCCAAATGAAATATCCTGAACCCAGGCACCTGGCTGGCAAAGCAGCCTTCAGGACAGTTGATCCTGGCCATGGAACACAGTGTCCATTCCCTGAATATACTTTGTCCAATTACAACTATTTATCTCTGTTCTTCTACCTCTTGAATGGTCTCTGTACCAAAGTACTATGGTCTGTTTGCTCATCCTCCCTTCTGCACCTCCCCACCCCATTCACATAGGGAACAAGAATCTGAAACCTATTGGATAAGCTCTTGCCCTCGTGTTGTTGGGTTCGCAGCTCGGACTCCAGCTCATCAACTCTGAGCTGGAGTTCCTCAAGCAACGAACACTTATGATCACTATGAACCTCAGTGGGATCCACCAGCTCGCACATCATGCAGTGGTATGTTGTAACCTCGTCTGGCATCTCTAATTACTTCATTCTTAATTTGATTGTTTAAAACTGTTGTACTAAACTATTTTAGTTTACAGCCTATGAATATTTCGTCCATTTACTATCAGTTTGAAAGTAACCTATCATTATCAAATTAGTAGCCATCACCACCATTGAACTTGTGCTTTACCTGTAATGTCACTCTTCTGTGTTGGACCCCTGATCCTGGGCTTCAATTTATCCTGCTATCTTTTTTCTAAAAAAAAACTTCCAAACTATGAGCCAAAAAGAGAAGCAAACAGCACCTCTTCCCACCTGCATCAAATTCC